TTTTTTTTTTTTTTTTTTTTTTTTTTTTTTTTTTTTTTTTTTTTTTTAATATTTTTAAGCCAAAAACTGACTTCATACTCGGACGAGTTCAATCGATATCTACTGTGGTTCTTCTCCAAAATTGTCTCCACAATTCTGTTACCAATTGTTTATGAACGAAAACCCATAATTAGTTCTCACAAACTCCGTCCAAATCTTCACGAAAATCCTTCGATTTCCCTTCCATTTTTCCCCATAAGTCATCCTAAAACATACCACATTCTTTTTCTCTTTCTCTCATCGATGGTCCAATCCAGTAAGTGTTCGTCGAAGGTGGAAGAGGCACGATCGACCGTAAAGAGCGAGACTGAATGTTAGAGAGGCCACAATCAGGTCTCGCTCTTTGCCCAAATGTTATTTTAAGTGGACGATAAAATTAAAATTAAAAATGAGATAGACCATAAATTTTATTTTTGTTAACGTAATAGTCACCAATTTCACAAGTCAAGCTCTACTCGATTATTCTATTCGAGTTTTTTTTCGAACAAATAAAGCTAGTAAAGATTTGAACCTCAAACACTATTTCTTCTTCAAAATCCACTTGAGTGCTCTTATGCTCGTTGTCCATGGATTTCCCCTGAATAAGACGTGTGAGGTGCCCTATGCATGTGGCCAAGCTATCATAAACATGATAGAACACTATTGAATATGTGGTACTTCGCATGCAACTTGCAACACACGAAACTTTCTCTTAGTATTCAACTTCCAGACGTTTAAAATTCTCACTATCTTTCAAGTGTTTCAACATTGTCTATCATTAAATTAATTATTAGGGCGTTTAAAAAATTCAATGATATGAAAAAACTCAATCAACCTAACCCAATTCATACCGTTTGAATTAGGTTACGAACATTTTTAAATCGTCAAACTTTATTTTAATTTTCAAAATTAAAAATAAGTTCACACAAGATCCACGAAAATTGGGCCAAAGTTGGTTTCACATTTATGAGTTTGGAAAGTACAATAATAACAATAATAATAATAATTGAGTATATAATGGAAAGAAAAAAGAATAAGCAGGCTACTGCTTTAGCAGGTCACCTTTGTAGTTGATAAATGTCTTTTTCTCCCTTTTATTAATACCGGTATTTACCGGTTGAGTTTGTATATTATGACGACATAATCACGTGTCACATCTACAGAGCATTCATATCCATCCACTTGCTTTCTCATTTTTCATATTTATTAATTAAAATAAGAGAAAATAGTACCATTTAATTTCACTTTATTAATACATAAAACAATCTTAAATTAAGCCTCAATTGGTTTATTATCCTGCAATTTATTTTTAAAATTGTATCCATTTAATTTCACTTTATTATTGCAATCAAATTATTATTTTTTTTAATTTTCAAAACTTAACTTAATTTTTAAAATTTAAGTAAAAAAAGAAAAAAAAATGATTAGGGAACGGAGTTTAAATAAAAAGGAAATAATTATGTTTTAAATTTTAAACATGTTTATTAGATAAATGTGAGTTAATTTAGCACAAAGAAAAATA